AGCAAGACCCTGTCTTGAAAAGAAAATTAACAATAATGATGATGGTGATGATGTAGGTGATTGTCTCCCATTTAACAGATGGCAAAACCAAAGCCCAGAGAAGTTGAACTCGTTTGCTCAAGGCCATATAAATGTATAAGAGACACCCATGGCCATAGTCCTGCCCCTCTAATTATTTGGCCCCAAGTTCTTCCTTATACTCTGTGCATACCAATTCTCAAGAGGTAGGGTGTTTGTTTTTTTCTCATTCATCATCCATGAGCACAGGGAGACAACTGTTTTATAAATGCATCCCTAATACTTCTGAAATGGGGTTAATACCTGTACATAATCTAACAAATATATTGATATCGATATTCACAGTTCTCACACCGGGGCGGGCTTCCTAGTGTCTGCCATTGGCCATCTGAGCTATTTCCAATGCTTAGGTTTAATGCACAGCATTGTAACTTTCTCTCGCCGGAACACAAAATGGAAATGGGAAGAAGCAGATTAAGCTAATGACAGAAAAATAACGTTTTGTGTCTTTCACGGGACTACGCATGATGAAATCAATTCAATAATATACTAATTACACAAATTAGAGAAATAGCTTTGGTATGGTAATAATAAAATTAGCAGTCTTTTCTAGTAAGCTTATATATTACAATTTCCACCAGAAAAATATTTATGCTAGTTTATTGTAAAGCATAGAGTACACCTTTATCTCAGCAAGATAAAAAAACATTTTCCAAGGGGGCTGGAGAGATGGCTCAGAGGTTAAGAGCACTGGTTGCCCTTCCAGAGGCCCTGAGTTCAGTTCCCAGCAACCACATGGTGGCTCACAACCATCTCTAATGAGATCTGATACCCCCTTCTGGCATGCAGGTGAAACACTGTATACATAATAAATAAATTAAAAAAAACTATCTCAAAATAAAAGGATAATGTTTTAAAAAATTGTTCTCCAAAACTGGCTCTCTGTGTAAAATTGAAGAGTGTCAGACACTGTGATTGGGAAAAGCAGTGGGAACATCGTTTGTCTTTCAGCAAACTGGTTTCTGTTGACAGTGTGCCACAAGTGTGTGTTTGTGTCAGTGTTTTAAGTCTGTGCTTTCTAGATCAGCTTTAAAGGGCGATTTCTCTGCGTTCCTCTGTAGGACAACTCTAAGGTACCCTCTAGTGGACGAGACGAAGAACACTTGGTGCAGAGCAGCCAGCTGCCAGCTGTTCCGTGTACCCACGTGCCTGAGGGTTAACACAGCTGTGTCTAGGTTTGTATACACAAAGGATGCAGGAATGATACCGGCTGAGAATAACTGAAATTCCCCTTTATCACTCTCTCCTAAGACATAAGTTAAAAACAAGTAGAGCTCAATCACTTCAGCAGGCCGTAAAGCATCACTTCAAAGACTGGTGAGGCTGGTGAGGAAAGCATTAGCGGCCTTTCTCGCTCCTGTGGTAAAAGACGCGGCAAAAGAAACGTAAAGAAGGGTTTCTTTCAGCTCCCACCATGGAGAAGATGTGCCCACGGAGCGGGAGGCAGCTGGTCACATCTACAGAAAGAGACGAATGCCCATGTACAGCTAACTTTCTCCACCATACATGAGTGTGTGTTTTGCTTGCATAGGTGTTTGCACCCCGCCTGCCTGCCTGGTACCTAGGGAAGCCAGAAGAGGGCTTGTGAGTCTCTGGAACTAGAGCTATAGACAGTTGTGAGCTGCCGTGTGGGTGCTGGACACTGAACCCAGATCCTCTGGAAAAGCAGCCAGTGCTTTTCACATCTGGGCCATCTCTCCAGCCATAGCTTTCTCTGTCTATGCAGTTTGAGACTCTAGCCCCAGAATGGTGCTACCCACAATCAGGACAAGTTAACCTTAGCCTAATGTAGAGAACCCCTTGAAGACAGGCCCTGGGGGGCTGGCTCTTTGGTGATTCTAGAGCCTGTGAAGTTGATAATCAATATTAACCATGACAACCCTAGTCCTTGGCAACTGGACATGCAAGCGTATCACTATGAAGCTATGACTTCTACTTTGTCCACCGCAGGCTCGAGGCTATATTGATGCAAAATGCATTCACTTTGACTTCAAAAGTCCAAAATTTTTTCTCATCCTCAATGAAGTCTCTTCACTGTAAGCCCTTGTAAGGCTAGCAAGGACACACTGCCAAGCCTGACCATTGAACTTGATCCCCAGGGTGAACCAGCTCCCACTAGGTGTTCTCTGGCCTCCACATGTGTGCTGTGGCACACAACCACTCATGCCAGCCCCCCCATACATACACATGTAAAATGAAAACTGAAGTCACATTGTTCCAACATACAGAGGCACAGAATAGATGTTCTCATTCCAAAAGGGAGGCGCTAGGGCACAGCAAGGGAAAGTGGAGCCGAAGCAACCTCCAAACCCAGCAGGGTAAATACAAATCCTGCAGCTCCGTGTGTGGCATCCAGGCCTCATGATGAAATCAGCTGGGCTCAAGGGCATACTTAGCCCCTTACCTCCTGCTCTACCTCTGGCAGCACACATATCCGCTTTGTGAGCTGGCTCATCTCTGTATACAGCTTCTCAGGGGATGTCCCGAGGACCTGGCCTCTCCAACACCCTGAAATCTCCATTGCAACCCGGACTCTCTTTTTCATAGCCTCCTGCAGTAGCCTTTCAGGACCTTTTGGCAGAAACTCCCTCTGCCACTATTGCCCACCTCTGTGAGGCTCTGGAGCCATGATACAAGACTCTATCATCCCCTCGATCTTGTATCTTTCATGATTGCAAAACAAGTACTGTCGTGATGATGCTAAGCAAATTCAGACACCAGCTCAGGGTGGAGTCTAGCATCCTTGGAACACAATTTTATCAGCTCTGTGCACTGGCCCTGGAGACACCTGCCTGGGGCATTACGTTAGAACAGGAAGCCTTTTGAGGGGCATTCTCAGTTTGAGCTCTCTCTCCTTTGAATGGATTTGCATTTTCACAAGTTAGAGCCTGCAGTGTTGAGGTCTTCCCTTCGGGATGTCATCCTGTTGTCCCAGTACAGAACAGGTTTTCCGTTATTGCTGCTACACTCTTTAATAATTAACGCTGCTTTTGACTCTGCCTTGCCTATAACTTTAAACGAGCTTACACTTTTTTGTGCCAAACTGAACATTTTTCTTATGGCTATCTGTTCTTTCTCTCAGTAGGCCTGGAAGGAAGCGGAAAGCGATACCTGTGCTTACTATTGCTAAATGCTACCCTGTCTTGAGATTTCCTTCACCCAACAAGCTAGTCCACTTCTTTTTTAAGATCTTTGTTTTTATGTGCATTGGTATTTTACCTTCACGTATGTCTATGTGAGAGTGTCCACAACTACAGACAGTTGTGAGCTGCCATGTGGGTGCTGGCAATTGAACCCCAGTCCTCCGGGACATCCAGTGCTCTTAACCCCTGAGGCATCTCTCCAGCCCCCAGTTGATCTCAGTCGAGTTTTCAGAACACAGCTGGAGCACAGGCAGGTTCCTCACCGGACGATCACAGCAGTGGTCACTAGTCTAGCTCCTGAGAGAGTCCACGTTCGCCTGCGCAACCTCACAAGCCAAACCTTGATTTTCTGCATTTCTCTCGGCATTCTGGTCTTCCGACTCCCACCAAGATGGTTCATTCAGCTCAGTTTATGATATTTGAGAACTTTTTAAAAATCACAACGTTCCAAACTCTTCCACAGACCAGTCCCAACGGCCTATAAACCACATGGCCGGGTTTACCACAGCAATGGCTTCTGTCCCTCAGACCAGCTTTCTATTCTAGTCACTACTTCTGACGAGTTTAACACAAAGAAGGAAGGGGCTTTGGGGTGCACAGATGAGCCATCTCCCCTGTGCGTGAAGCTGAGCTGAGCATACAGGGATCTGGGGGCCAAGGGGAGGGCTGGTTTGCAGAGGGAGCTCAGGAGTCTTCCAGGAAGGAAAGACTGGTCCATTCCCATACTCCCAAATATCCTGACTGAGAATTGTAATGAGAGATGACTATCAGGGTAAGTGCAGGCAACCCGGAAAGACTCTGAAGACACAAACAGAAAGCAATAGATCCAGGAAGGTAGAAAGATGCAGACTGCATGGCCAGCCATGGCAATATCTCAGAAGGGACATGGCACCCTGGAGATTCTGGGACGCTGGAATCGGCTCTGGCCTATCTCTGAAAGTCGGTGTGCTGACCAGTCTTTTGTGAACTTGGCACAGGCTAGAGTCATCTGAAAAGATGGAGCTGTAATTGAGAAAACGTCTCCATAAGACTGGACTATATGTAAGCCTGTAGAACACTTTCTTAATTGGTAATTGATGAGAGAGGACTCAGCCCGTTGTGAGTGGTGCCCCTGAGCTAGTGGTCTTGGGTTCTGTAAGAAAGCAGGCTGAACAAGCCACAATGAGCAAGCTGGTACGCAGCCTCCCTCCATGGCCTCTGCATCAGCTCCTGCCTCCAGGTTCCTGCCTGGTTTGAGTTCCTCCCTTGACTTCCGTCAATGGATGGTGATTCTGGATATGTAAGCCAAATAAACCCTTTCCTCCCCAGGTTGATTTTGGTCATGGTGTTTCATCACAGCAACAGTAACCCTGATTAAGACAGCTAGCTCATTTAATAAATAAGACGGTGGTTAAAACAATCCCCAGTGACCCTGCTCCTTAGCAGTGACAAAGGACTCGCGACAGAACGCACGTGAAGCAGCACCTTCTCGTGAAAAAACACTAGTGGGGAGCTGGGGAGCTGGGGTCAGCTCCACGCCAGCACCTAAGGCTGCCATTTGGTGCAGCTGGGAAGAGAAATGGGGACCAGATTCCCATCCTGGAGCAGCCTGGCAAGCTTTCTGAGGCCACGACTCCAGGAAGGAATAAGATAAAATGAGAACCTCTTTTGTGGGTCCACTCTGTGGATATGGCCTGGGGGCGGGGGTGCAAGCCGCTGTCAGGGTCAACCACCGCATCTGCAGCGGATTTCACCGACCACAATGGTTCCTGTGGCAGCAGAGAGCAGGAGCCCCGGTCCTCAGTTTGGCTGCGGTCTAGAATGACCAGCTTCCTCCACGCTCCGCACCCTTCACTGATGTCAACCCAGTGAAACAGAACCAAGACAGCCTGCGCTTTGCTATCTTAGGATACCTATTCATGCCCTTGGGTTCCAGGATACACAGATGGGAACAGCCTACGGACAAGGAGAAACAGACTTCGGAAGTTCCCGTTATAACCAGCAGGGGGAGCCTCGAACAACAGAGCCTGGAAGCCTACAAAAGATTGAATCCGGTAAGAGGAACCCATGCACACAAAATCCACTGACACATTGTAACTACTTTTGATACATAGCCGTTGCCATGGGAAACAATAATTATTTACACAATAATCTCTTATTCTGAAAAGGAAAAGTTAACCCCTGTTAGTGGAAGAACTAGTGAAAAATAGAACTTTCCCTCCACCTTAAGATTGTGAACATTGAGACTAGGAAACTCCTAAAGTAGTCTCCCTTGCCGGGCGGTGGTGGCACACGCCTTTAATCCCAGCACTCGGGAGGCAGAGGCAGGCGGATCTCTGTGAGTTCGAGACCAGCCTGGTCTACAGAGCTAGTTCCAGGACAGGCTCCAAAGCCACAGAGAAACCCTGTCTCGGAAAAAAAAAAAAAAAAAAAAAAAAAGTAGTCTCCCTTGCTCTTTCTCACCTCTCCTGCCCTCTTACTCCTTAAGTTTCAGTCCCTACTATAGCTATAACCATAGCAACCCAGCTGGTGGGAGATTCTGGAAACTCCTACGCATTCTTTTAAATTCAGGTAAGACTTCACCTTAGCCACGACACCACCTCTCACAGCCTCCCCAGCCTCAGAGGAGGCCATCTCCCTGTGACTGCACTGAACACATCGTACGGGGCCTCTTGTCTCAGGGTCTCAGAACTCCATAGAGGGGACTAAGAGGATGGCTCAGCAGGTAAAGGCACCAGCTATCAAGCTTGGTGACCTGAGTTCGATTCCCAGGACCCACATGGTGGAAGGGGAGATGTAACTCCTGCAAGAAATTGTCGTCTGGCTGCCACTAGTGTGTTGTATTATGTACATAATACAGGTAATAAACTTTAAAAAAAAACTCTATTTTCTTGACTTACATTTGCAACCCTGGTGCATGCACACTGATGTGGGGTCACATAGACATTGATTGACCAGGGCTTTTCCCACTCAGGAGTGTTGGGCACTGAAAGAAGGTGGGACGGTAACCGTCCTGCGTTGGAGTGGAAGGGCTGGGGGCAGACTCTGCCAGGGACTGAGCTGAGCCAGAGAGGTCTAAGATACAGAAGCAACACAGTCAGGAAGGAGATGGAATTTATGCTCTCAGGGAGGAGAGCTGTGCCTGGCATGCAGGAAAGCCAAGGGAGGCAAGCAAGGGAGAGAAAGGAGGATGATGGGAACTCTCCAGGAAGGACAGGAGATGGAATAAAGGGTAGGAGATGGACCTCGAAACTGGACAAGACCAATGTTCAAGACAAACTTGTGTGCTGTGAAATAATCTTTTTGTACTCTGTGAAGATGTGTCATTCGGATTGGCTCAATAAAAAGCTGGAACAGGCACTAGCCAGGCAGGGTTTCCAGGCACAGGGGATGAAGAAGGGAGGAGTCAACAGCTAGACCACATGACAGCACATAAATTAACAGAATTGGGTTCATTTAAGTTATAAGAGTTAGTTAAAAACATGCCTAAGCTATTGGCTGAGCTTTCATAGTTTACAATAAGTCTCCATGTCATGATTTGGGAGCTGGCTGATGAAGACCGAGAAAGACTTGTTACATTTGTGAGAGAGGGCAGGAGTCCTGTTTTATTGTTAAATGGTATCTGTAACAGGGCCCTAGACCTTAGTAGGCCCATGGACCTTAGCACAGCAGACTCCATGATGAGAGTGCCATTCAGGCTGTAAAACTCAGCACTACACAGCACCTCCTGCCAAAACTAAAACAAAGACCTAATCCATCAGAGTCCATATAATTCTGGGAAATCCTCAAGCTTTTTAGCTTCTGTAGTTCCACTTCTGGTTAACTGTTCTTGTTAACTGAAGTATGTCAACCTAGGGCATGGTTATGTGCTTAAAAAATCATCCTGAGACAGGCTCAGGGTTACACTGAGATCCTGAACACCCAGTGCAGTAGTTAGCCAGCTAATAAAGACATTCTGTTGCTTTAAACCCGTGTCCTAGAAGTCTTCTCTGCTGGATACCCCACAACAGTGTCGCCTGTGTCCTCTTGCAGATCTCCACAGCAAAGCCAAGGAAGAATGGCTGTCTTTTGCATTGGGTCAGGGAGGTTAGAGGAGAAGGGACCTGGTATAAACAGCTTGCAATCACACTTCCAGTCTTGGAACTGTGTGGTTACAGACATCAGTCCACTTTAAAGCAATATAGAGTGGTACCCAAAGTCTACCTGGGCTCAGATCCCAGCTCTTCCTCTTATAGTGTTATGAGTCATTTTGTTTGTTTGTTTGTTTGTTTGTTTGTTTGTTTATTTGTAGCCTTGACTGGCCTGGAACTTGCTATGTACAATCAGGCTAGCCTTAAACTCAGAGAGATCTGCCTGCCTCTGCCTCTGAATGCTGCGATTAAATGCCACCATGCTTTTATTGCCTACACCCAATAAAGAATCAAAGGATTAATAAGAAAATTGAAAGTAATGTATGTGAAGTAATCCTGACGCAGGAAGCTCCTAATTCTTCTTTGTTCTTTCTTTGATGTTATCCAGAGATGTGTTATTCATATGCTTTCTTCCTGGCCCATCTAAACACCACCACACCTCATCATGTTTTTATTTTATTTACTTGTTTGTTTATTTTTGATTTTTTGAGACAGGGTTTCTCTGTATAACCCTGGCTGTTCTGGAACTCACTCTGTAGATCAGGCTGGACTTGAATTCAGAGATCCGCCTGCCTCTGCATCCCCAGTGCTGTGATTAAAGGCGTGCGCCACCACTGTCCAGCTTTATCATGTTTTTAAAATGGGGAGGGGAGGAGAGTGTTTGGATGTCTGCATCATTCCACATTAGTGTAAAGTTCCTTTTCAGAGTCAGTCGATCACATGGTTCCTTGCTAGCTTTTGAGCTGCATTCTCCCTGCTCACATCTGCTACCTGGGTGATACAGTCTGTGCTGTTATTTTCTCTCCTGCTTTACCTCTGAGTGAGCAGGCAGTCATCACTGTAGCGGGGGTGTTTGTCTAGCAGAGTTATTCCACCTGGAATTTATCCTTCTGTATACTCTTTGTTCCTCCACATAAATTGGGCTTTCTTTCAGTACAGAGATGATACTGATGCTCTCCGCCTTCTGTGGGCCTTGTGAGCTTTCTTGAGATACCAATAGGTGCTGGAAGTTATCCACAAACTGCTTCCCTTGGGAGCTCAGCCTTCTTAGTAGGAGACGTGATTGGAAGGCTGAAGCAGCAGGCTAGAAATCTGGACAGTTTCAGTTCCAAGCTTAGCCATAAAACTAGCCCAAATTAAAGGCTCCAGGGGCGGACATGTGTACTGAAATTTGAAATATGAAACCTCGAGAATGGCATCCTTCCTTTGGAGGAGGACCAGCTTACCTGGGGATGAGAGTATGCTATGTCATCCTCTGTTCTCCTCAGCTTATTCAAATACTTCACAGAAGGGGTAATGTAACAAACAGGTGAGAGCTGTGTGAAAAACAAATCAGAGTCCGCACAAGGCGCTTTGTTTCCGCACAGACCAGGACCGTCCCATCAGGCTAAGCAGCTGCACTTAGGCCCCTCCCTTCCCCAGATGTGCACTGGGCGGGCTCAGCACAGCCCAAGGGGCAGTGGGAGCTGCAGCAATTCTGTAGGATGTATGCTGAATATTATATTATCAGGAGCCTGCATGACATCTAAGCAGAAGCAGGACACCGCCCTGGGGCAGGACACACACACAGACAAACACACACAAGGGCAGTAGCTACTACCACTGGCACAGAAGCAGATGGAATCCACTGCCATTGTGTCAGTTAAGGGCCAAAGGTATCAACAAAGAGCAATCAGCTTCCTGGAAAGTGTCAACTTCTTTATAATAAAGATGAGATGCAAGCATGCCGAGAAACAAAGTACAGCAACATTCTTTTTTTTTAAATATTTATTTATTCATTTATTTATTATGTATACAATATTCTATCTGTGTACATGCCTGAAGGCCAGAAGAGGGCACCAGACCTCATTACAGATGGTTGTGAGCCACCATGTGGTTGCTGGGAATTGAACTCAGGACCTTTGGAAGAGCAGGCAATGCTCTTAACCTCTGAGCCATCTCTCCAGCCCAAAGTACAGCAACATTCTTGAACCAATGTTCAAGACACACCAAAAGGAAGATTGGAACTCTGCAGCCAGATGACCACTGAGATTCTGGGGATACTCCACTCTTTAGGGGTGCAAATAGCATCACTGAAGTTACCTACACAATGGAATGGTCAGCATATCCCAATGAGTTCAAGTCTTCACATGTATTATTGCCAAATGAACATGAGTTCTAGCCGGATTTTGCCACTCAGTAGACACGTGACCTTAGGTACATCACTCAACCTCTTTGAACCTCAGGTTGTTGTTTATAAACTAGGAATAGCAGTATTAGAAAGCAGGCAGTTTACAAACAAGGTGGAATTATAATCCTAAGCACCAGATACCTGGGGAAAGGCAACCGCAGCTAAAGAGTTTGAAGGTCTTTGCTGTGTTTATGAGAAAATAGTGCTGCTTGTTAACACTGAATTTTGCTAAGATACCTACACCTTTCTGAAGTAGCCAAATACAAGGATGAAGACAGAACCCATAGATCTTTTAGATGGATTTAGCGATCTGTGTTTATAATCCCAAATCCCAGCAGTCAGGGACCTGATGCAGAAAGATCTTGAGTTTGCGGCCATTTTAGACTCATTTGGAGTTTCAGGCAAGCATGGGCAATATAGTAAGATTCTAGCACTAAACAAACAAACTTCTGGATAAGATAACAGAGTAGTGGCTGTCTATTTAAAAGCCAGTAAAGGAGAGTCAGAACTAAAAAAGAATGTAACATGAGGAACCTGCTTGTTGGGGTTTCTGTCCTGCCCAGTACCCCCAAAGAAAATCACACAGAGAGTCTACATTAGGTCATAACTGATTGGCCCATTAGCTCGGGCTACTTATTAGCTCTTGTAACTTATATTTACCCATTGTTATTATCTATATTAGCCACATGGCTCGGTACCTTTCTCAGAGGGGTAGGTCACATCCTGCTTCTTTGGTGATCTGGGCAGAAGTGCCAAAAGAGCTTCGTTCTTCCCAGAATACTCCTGTTCTCATCACCCCGCCTCTACTTCCTGTCTGGTTGACCTGCCTCTACTTCCTGCCTGGCCAATCAGCATTTATTTAAAACATGATTGACAGAACATAGACAATTATCCTGCACCAGAAGAAGGAGGAAGAGTAGGAGGAGGAGGAAAAAAGAAGAAGAAGAAGAAGAAGAAGAAGAAGAAGAAGAAGAAGAAGAAGAAGAAGAAGAAGAAGAAGAAGAAGAAGAAGAAGAAGAAGAAGAAGAACAACAACAACAACAACAACAACAACAACAACTGTATATCTGAACCTGGTGGTAGTAGCACATGCCTTTAATCCCAGTACTTGGGAGGCAAAGACAGGCAGATTGCTGAGTTTAGGGTTAAACATATTTTTTGACTCAGTAGGGATATTTTGAGCAAAAGTGATGGGAATATGTGAGGTTATAGGCAAGGTTGATCAAAAAACATTATATACGTGTATGAAATATTCAAATTTTTAAAATGTCTTAAATGTAGTTCTCATTGAGTCAGTGGTCTCTTTGTTATGGACACTGGTATCCAGTTCCTGGGTTTAATCTGTCCTCCTTCAGCCTCCTCAGTAGCTATAAGTACAGGTGTGTCATGGGCCCTATTTGTTTGATTTTTCTATCCACCCTAGGTATTTGATTAAGAAAATTCAACCATGAGTAGAACTCTATGGAAGGGCACAGGTCTTGGGTTCAGTTACTAGTATGGAGGAAAGACAGTTTTCTTTGCTTTCTTGTATTCAGGAAGTAGGAAAATGCATGAATTCTGTAAAATAGGATCAGTCTTCCATTGTTTAAAAGGATAAAACTAGGTAAAGGGAGGCCAATCTTCCAAATTTTTAATGAGATCTAAGAGTTTACCTCTGAATTTGAAGCTAATTGGGGATTT